CAAAGCGATTATCGGCCGATAGTGATCGGTAGCCGATCAATCGGAGCACTAATAGAAGTAAGAAATTAATACTTTTATTCAGCAAGGTTGCATTAAATTGATCAAAAGTGACAGAAAAGACATTTAAAATGTCTTCATTGTGAAAATTCAGCTTTGTCATCAGAGGAATAAATTACATTTGAAATATATTAACATTGAGTCAGTTATTTTAAATTGCATCAAATTTTACACTTTTGCTCTTTTTATTGTATTTTGATCAAATAAATGCAGACTTGGTGAGCATACAACACTTTATTGGTCAGTCAATAAAAACTGTCAATCATCACACCAATATATGACTATGTTGTTGTTGTGGTTCTCTTTGGTTCCCTAGACTGCTCCAGAAAAGCTCTGGTAGTGAAGGGTGAGTTGTGGCCTTGTGCAGTCACAGCTCATTTTTGTGTGTGTGTGTGTGTGTGTGGTGTGTGTGTGTGTGTGTGTGTGTGTGTGTGTGGTCACGGATGCTGCGTAGGCCTTTGTTTCCTCTGCTCTCCCCTACATTAAGCACTGACACTCAAATGCTTTGATCCCAATGGGCTGCTGCCTACAAAATTTTCAGCAGTGTAGACTACAGACACACACTGCTGGCTAATTTAATTCAAATCTGTGTAAATAATATTGTTCTGGAAATATCCAAAAGCACAGGTGTTTCTGTAATGCAGAAGTATTGTGCTCTCACAGGTAAGACACGAGTGAAAGTGATTGAATGGGTCACTCATGGAATACTAGCCCATTGAGTTGCCACATAACATTTGTGACAACTCATTAGTTGTTTATTAAGACAACTAATTGTGGCTTGAAGAATATTTGGAATGTGCCTGCTGTTTTACTAACCCTTCAGTATTTTATCTTGTAAATTTCTGTTATGCATAATTGCTTGATGAGAGCATGTAAAACTTTTACTCGTATCAAAAAGCTGAATGGCTACAATCCACTAAATCGTTTTTCCATCCTAATGCATGGCTTTTTTTTCCTGACTGCTAATGTTTTTGGAAAAACCTCTGTTTTCAGGAGCAAATCAGTGAGTGACATCACCGACAGTGAGATGAACCTCAGCAACTTGTCAATGGAGTTGCGAGTTGAAGAGATGCAGAAGATGCGTGCTCGGTTGAAGGATAATGAGGATAAGTGGCAAGATGTGAGTATTGGATCACAAGGTTTTGCTGCTGTTCATGTTTATAGCTGCAGCTGTTTGGCCTGTGGTTCAATGAAAGTTGAGACTTTAAGATTTCCTCACCTCAACTTCAAGCCACACAATCACATCAATAATAAGTAGTCTGTAACTGTTCAGTGGTACTTTGTAGTGTGGACGTGGTTGGACTGAGCTTCAGTACAGCATTTAGGTCATATACGCGCCCCTAATTCACACGGGAAAAGGAATCGGGTGGAGCCAAACAGGCAAAATAGGACACAGGCAAAATCTAGTCCTCCCTCACTTCTCAATCTGTCCTCGTGTCTCTCTACCCTTCCCCTGAACTATCCCTCCTACCGTTACTGCTTATGAATAAGAACCTGTGCTCCAGTTATGGAGGCTGAGCGTCTTTCTCCTCGTCCCTGCAGGATCTTACAAGGTGGAAGAATAAGCGCAGGAGTGTGAATTCTGACATTGTGAAGAAGAAAGAGGAGAGAGAGCAGACTGATCAGATCTCTTCAGGCGGCATCAGGAAATCAAAGACCTTCAAGGAAATGCAGGATGAGAGGTGAACATACATTACATACATTAAATCAAGTAGTTGTGTGAAGCTTAAACAGTACAAAACTGTATATTTAATTTTTAATTAATAATATTTCATGAATTGAATTTAATTCTTCATTTAATATTTTATTTTATTTTATTATTGATGAAATGTTGCATTCTATGTTTTTGTCATTGTGTGGTCTGCTGTTAGTGCGGAGAGTGTAGTCTGTTCTACTTTCTCTGATCTGTAGTCTGCTCAGTGTAAAAGTGTAATCTAATCGCGGTTCTTGTCCTGCCTCTCTCACTCCTGCCCCTATTCAGAGAGAGCCGACAGCAAAGCAACTACAGGGACAGCTTTAACTCAATCTCTGATGATGTCTTCGAAGGACCTGTACCCCGAAACAGAACTCTGCCAGCACGTAGCTACACCATTGATACTCCTTACACCCCCAAGGACAAACCTTCAGTACCCTCCATACCATATCTGAGAGAAAAGGAACCTGTCGCTGGCACTCTGGCATCAGATCAGACAGATTTTCATACCAGACGTAATCGCTTCAGCCCAGATATCCCACTGAAAATTAATAACAACATTGAGGAGAGCCATACAACGACCCGAAGCCTTCTGGATGATCCAGTTCCTGCGTTGTCCAGCAGCAACTCCAGCCTGATCAAGCACACCAGCGTCAGTAAAACCAGCAGCGTTCTCAACAGCTCGGAGTTGATTAGCAACACTAAGCCAGTCAAGAACTCCAGCGGCCCCATTAGCTCTTTGTATAAACCCAATTCAATGGATACAAAGCAGTCTGGGCTGGATCAAGTTTCTGCCTCCCTCCCCAGGAGCTACCAGAGATCGGATAGCGCAAGACTCACCTCTGTAGTCACGCCCAGGCCATTCGGCACACAGTCCAACCGAATAGCCTCCCTTCCCAGAGTGTTCACGGTGAGTGGGCCTGCTTGGCCTTAAACATCCTGACCTGTTTGATTGGCTTGTTTTTTTGTTGTTGTTGTCTTTAGTGAATAAACTTCTGTGAGAACATTGTACTCCTCACCGTAGTGTGTGATCAATTTACAGTGAAATACTGATGTAATTACAGCTCATATGAATTATAAAGCATCTAACTGAGGTACGCACCTAGAGTAAAACCATAAAGTGAAGGTCAGATTTTTTTGAGAAAGCATAACATCTCATTATGGAGTGCAACAATCTGGTTCTGGAAGTAAACATTAATTCATTTTCTCCATAGATTTTTAACGATAACTTTTAAAAACACACCAACTGTGCGTAACAAGGTTGTTATTTAATGGTATATGTTTTTGTTGCTGGCTAGCGTTATTATAAGTTTTTAAATAACTGTGTTTAACAGCAGAATTCCTGGTGACAAACTACATTACCCATTTATCTGAAAAAAATAAATAAAAATCAGGGAATCAAAACAAGCAAATCACACCAAAAGCACTCTTTAGTGTCCACTCGTTCCCATAAAGCACTGAGAATGACGTAATCGGGTCAATTTCTGAATTCTGTCAAACTACTAAAGCTGTTTAAGTTGCATTTTTGTACCTTTTTTTGCCTATGTCTGATTTTCAAAAGCTTTTTTGCTTCAAATCAAAGTGTTTTGATTCATGTCATATAATAAATGAATGAGGCAAAATCACATCAGGGCCTCTAAAAAAGTGGATTGGCACTGTAGCACTCTATTCCTCTGTTTGAGATATTTAAACCAAACTAGTCTCATGTTTAAATTGATGAGTCGTGATCTATTCTACATGATTAACAATAACAGCAAGGAATGCATACACCTCATATAGAGTTCAGATTGTTAGCGAAAATACTTATATGGTATTAAAAACCTTTTAGGTGGACAACTCTCTTAAGCGCACAAATGGAGAGACAGACAGCCTCAAGAAATCTACAATTTCCAACCGATATGCTCAGTATGTGAAAGAGGATGAAGATATTTCCCAGGAAAGTCCTGTACAAAGCAGTGACGAAGAGGAGGAAGAGGAGAAAACCCCATCTCCTGTCCCTCCGGTCAACAGACTGTCCCCCCTGCCCAAATCTCCATCCCCGCTCATCCCTTCTAATGAGGTACTGCAAGACTCTCAACTCAAAAATCTCACCTACACACTTGCAACTACATTCAGTTTTCTAAAGCTAAAGTAAATTCCATTTGCACAGATACACAAGCACTTTATATTCCTTAAATCTTGACTTAATCCAGATCATTTAAGCATTTTAAAGCTGTAAATGTGGTCACACTCCTCAAGAAAATTTTATTGTGAATTTCAATAGCACACTCCAGAAACCATTTTATAATTTATGGTCATATTGAAGAAGATGCATTTAACATAGTAAACCACAAATCACTTTATTTTCTGTGTAGAACTGACCTGTCTATGTCTTCCAGGTGGACTACAGTGAGATGAGGATCAGCCTGAACCAGAAACCCAACAGCAGCCAGGACTTTGGCTTTCAGAGCAACTGGGACTCCACGGGGGTCCGTGTCAAATCTGTAGTTCCAGGTAAAAGAAACGTATAAAATCCTAAGAAAAAAAGGTGGTCAGTAATGATCCCATGTGCTGCACAGTGAATTAACGAAGCATAAAGTACAGGCTCTACCTGCAGCTTCAGAGAGCATCTGCTGCTGTAAAAACACGTGTGCTGCTACAGTAGCCTATATAGGGCAGATTTTTTTTCTAGGTTGGTTCTAATGAGCCTTTAGTTTACATGACTGAATCAGAAAAAAAATACTTTTCAAGTGTCTGTACTTTATCAGTGTTTTTCTTTAGACAACTTTACTTCACAACATTCCAAAGCATAATATTGCACTACGTTTCATATTAAATATCATTTAATACTTAATTAAATTAGAAATCTATTACTTTCTTACTTTTACTCACGTAAAAGTAATTCAAAGATTTACTTGAGTACAAGAAATTGCATTTATAATGTTCTTTTAAGTATTAAAGGTAAAACAAACAACAACTTTTATTTATGAAATGTAGTGCAGTAAAAAGTATGACATTATGCTTTGGAATGTAGTGAAGTAACATCTCTGATAAACTACAGATACTTTTTTAATTTACTTGAGTAAAGTAAAAATACTTCACTACTGTCCGCCTCTGCTCTGATGTGTTGTTATCTAAATCACAGTTAGAGGTTAATTTGGCATTTGACACTGTTATTACATTTAGTAAAAACAAAAATTGTATGCTTGATTATGTGTGTGGGACATGTGTGAGAAGGCAGCCCAGCGGGGCTCGGTCAAGTGAAGGTTGGAGATGAGATCCTTACAGTGAACGGCCACATGGTGGCAGACCTGAGCTATACTGAGTGGAAGAACAGTATGGAGGAGGCCTTGCAGCAGGGTAGTCTGTTTATGGACATCCGCAGACATGGCAAGAATAGTAAGTCTACACCATCTTTTGAATGCAGCACTCTCAGACTTCACCTGAGTAAATGACCACAAGAGACCTGGAAAAAGCTTCCGAAGTTAACCAAAAGCAGCAGAAATAACATTATCAGACACTTTTGTACACATAGCACACTAAGTTCCTCTGTTCTGGGTTGACCCTGTAGTTAAAGATAGAATATACAGTAGTAGTAAAGTGCACATAGTGTATCAACTTATGTTTGTCAGTTGTGTGTTTGGTTGCTGGTTTTCTTTGTTCACTTTTTTCTTTTAAAGGAAAAGTTCACTCAAAAAATAAAAATTAAATACTGTCATTATTATATATTTTATACATTATTATATATTATGTCACATATATTTCCACCGCTATGCTGCTGTTTTTTTTTCTGTGAAGCACAGAAAAAATGCTTACATTATATTTTACACTGATATAGTGGACTGTCAAGCTCCACAAAGGGCAAAAACATATCACCTATGTGCACAAAATTCAGATTTTATTTTATTTTATTTCATGTCATTTTTTTTTTATTATTTGTGGAGCACATCTTTTATTTATGTGTTCCACTGAACGAAATAACACCTTTTAACTGTAATAGTTTTTGGCCCAAACATTTTGGGTTATCTATTCCTTTATTGTCTACTTTTCCCTGGCCTGGTGTCTGCAGTATATGTGATATGCCTTTATTTCTTCCTAAACTGTGTGCATTATTTCTCATTATCTTGGTTTCTAACGTTTGTGGTTCTTGATAACATCAGAGGTTCATATTTTCAGTGTTTACTAGCAGGCTTATGGTTTGTGACTGAAGCCAGATCAGAGGGCATCTGTAAGCTTGTTTGTAAACCTGTTGTATGTGGAGCTCATTCTGACTGCATGGCAGGGGAAGGTGGTCTGTCTTTCATCCCCACTATTTAGAATATAGTATTATGTCTGTAGTCGTACATCTGTTTTCATTCTGTGTTTTTGAAATAAATGATTTTGTTGACATGCCACAATCAGACTGGGGCAGAGACCTACCTTCCCTTCCATTTAAAAGCCATAAGACCATCAATCTGACCAGTCTGGATCCTCTAGGTCCCTCTGAGCCATACCTCAGCACCAACCTGGATTTCACATCCCAACAAACCAAGGATATGGTCGTGAAAACTGTGAATGTCAGCTCACAGTCTGGCAATGTACGCGGACTATTATTAATCACTTATATATGATACTTAATTTCGATTTATTTTAATGCTTCTTTATTATACTAAACAGATGACCTCTTATTTTTTCACAGAATTATGGTACGAATGGGATAAATGGTGGTTTCCGTGAGGATTCAAAGACTTCGAATAATAAAGGTATATTACTTTTTTCAGCTAATTGCTTGGAAACATTCTGTGAAGCTTTTTTCTGTAGTTTGTTTCTGTGCCTGTTTTATTAAATGCATGTTGTGCAGAAAAGTTGTGAAAAAAATGAATCTTGTTCAGAGATTGTTTCATAGCTTGACAAGAATGCTTGTTTTTGATTAACTTAAACTAGCCAAAAGTAAAAAGTAGAATAAAGATAGCCAAGCACTGTGCACATACAATGTTTATATAAAAAAGGTTTTCTAACTACATTTCTACAAGAAAGCAGTGTGAATTAAGAATTAATTGCTAAATCTAGTTCCCCAGGGCACCTGGAACTTTTTCCTTTGTACAGATTCAACTTCTTCTAACATTTTTATCTCCCATGTAGAATCCATTACTTTGAAAAACTTAAAAAGGAGATCAGAGTTTTTTGAACAAGGTAACAGAACAGCATCAGTCAAGTGCTGGTGCGTTCAGGCTTTGTGTTTCGGGGGCTTTGGGTAAACTGCTAAGTCTTCATCCTGCCATCCTCCTCCTCCTCTCTCTAGCAGAAGCCCTTCATAACCTCTGTGCTCTTCCCTCTGCAGGGCTCACAGTCAGTTCTCTGGTCTACCTCTGTGGTAAAGGGGGGTTGAGTGTGCAGTGTCCACTTCCATTTCGAGCTCTGACATGCTGTCTACAGGAGTCTGAGTACTTTAAAAAGTAGAGGAAAATTCATGAGTAAATAGTGCAAAATAGTGCAATAGTTCAATTCTGTCATTATTTACTCACCATCATATTCTTCCAAAGCCACCTATGACAAAAGGAGAACATTTGAAGACTGATTTCAATCAGTCGATTATTACACTGATTTTTCAGTGTAATTACAATCAATGTAACCTGAAGCTCTCAGGCTTCAAAACTGACACAAAAAGCACCATAAAATATCATAAAAATGGCCCACACAACTAAATTTCAAGCCTTCTGAAGTTTAGTTTCCTGTAGTGAGTACTATAACACTATATAAATAATACTGGTTCTGTTTGAAATGACATAAGAATGAGTAAATTATGAAACAAATTCAAATTTGTTATATTGCCAATGATTGTTGTTGCTTACATCGCCTCAGATCATGAAACCTTATTGAAAAATGATGACCTTTGGTTGCTTTTTCACTATCAGTGCAAACAAACCTTAAAAGTGTTTTTTTTTTTCTATTTTCTTTTATGTTGCCATGCTCTTGAAGACCTCTTAAAGACAGCATGTCAGGAACCATGCCAACATACAAAGCACTCTAAATAAAAAATAGGAAACTGCATCAGAGGGATAGACAGTCCATATCTTACTAATACCTGCCACATTGATATAATATCAGAGAATTTCCCCATAGGCATAAATGAAAGAATTCAGGATGAGACAGATATGAATATGAGGCTGTACTACCTTCTCACACTCAAGTCAGCCTTGCTGTATATCCCTGATTATCAGAGCAGCTCAGGCAAAGAAATCAGTAATCAGTGTGGAGTGTGTTGGTATTGTGTTGTGAATGTGAATAGTGCATGCTGTGCTGGACATGTATGTGGGGTTTGGTTTTACTAATAACCAGTGCTTCTGCATGTGACATTGCATTTAAAGACTGGCCAAATGTGTTTATGCATTATTCATTTGGTTTGGTTATTGAAGACTTTGCATGTGTTTGTTTATTCAAGCCATTGAATGTGGTTCTAATTTAACATGTATTTATGGAGCTGTTGGGTTATGGGTTTCTTATTTGAACAGATATTATTCTATGAGATATTTGGGATGGAATGCTGTTCATGTGTTCCCTTCATGCTATCAAGAAGGGTTTCATTCAAAATATAGGCTACAATGTATTTATTCAGAAGAATCTAATTGTAGCTGGTTTTTACAGGTGGATCGGACACAGCAATATCAAATGTAAGTTGTTTCATATGTTTTCTTTTAATCAAACCACTGTTGTTGACATGCATATGATCTGATTAAGTGAATTATATAGTTTAATCCATGTTTTGGGGCCTGGTTCTTTTTGGATCTTTGACAAGACAATGTGATCATGCAAGGTCTTGGAAAGGATCTGTGTGGTATTTTATTTGGCCAGTGGTTGGCTCCAATAATTAAAAGCGTTTTCTGTGTCTGTAGCTGACCGTTCCCTCTATCACTACATCCACTACCCGGTCCTGGGACCCTGAAGAAGAGCGCAAACGACAGGAGAAATGGCAGAAAGAGCAGGAGCGTTTGCTGCAGGTAAATATTATAGTATCTGTGCTCATGCATTTGTTATGAATTAAACATAATTATGTTGGGTAAAATAGATTTATAGAGTAAAGTTTATTTTTTTCGTGAGATTGTAGAAATTAGTTAAACTAGGATACATTTTGTTCTACTAATTGGCATACAAACTCAAGTTTGTTGTTGTGTTTCTTGAATACAAAACTAGACATGCATCATGTAGACCTTTTAATTTTGAAAAAAAACAATATTATTCTCTGTTTGTGTGTATGTTTATTGCATATTCAGAATATTTGTATTATGATTGCGAAGATTGGTGGCAAACTAATTCATTGTTTGTTGATAAATGCCAAAAGCACAGTGTAATTATGCATTTTGAAATTTTGAAGCATTGTTTAGCTACAATCAATGGTCTTTTCTTTTTGTTTTCATTCCCTCTCTCTCCTGTTTTCCCCTTGCTTGACTTGCTGAAGGAGAAGTACAAAAAGGACCAAGAAAAACTCGAAGATGAGTGGAGAAAGGCACAGCATGAGCTTGAGAAGGAGAACTTCAAAAAACATGAGGAGGTATATTTAATATTTTATTTATTTATCATAACCATTGCAAGTCAGTGTTTTACAGATGCCTCAGCAATAATTTGATCATATCCACGAGAGATTTTATATTCAAATAAACAAACAAACAAATGAATAAATAAGAGAATTCAGAAAAATAACCGATTTAACACAATTTACCCTTTTCAAAAGTTCATATAAGCCATTTTTTATGACGATTTTGCAGCAAACTATTATTTTATATGGTATACATCTGGCAGTTACTGCAAGGGGTATGTAAACCCTATCACACTGTCACTGTCAAACACCAAAAAAATCCTTTGCTTGCTGTTGAACAGGAGATGCAGCGTTTAGAGGAAGAGAGGAGAAAAAGGGAGGAACAAGAGCACCTTGAGGAAGAGAAGAAGAAGAGAGAAGAAGAACAGAGGAAAAGAAGAGAAGAGGAGTGGCTGCGTTTAGAGGAAGAGAGGAGAAAACAAGAAGAACAAGAGCGCCTTGAGGAAGAGAAGAAGAAGAGAGAAGAAGAACAGAGGAAGAGAAGAGAAGAGGAGTGGCTGCGTTTAGAGGAAGAGAGGAGAAAACAAGAAGAACAAGAGCGCCTTGAGGAAGAGAAGAAGAAGAGAGAAGAAGAACAGAGGAAGAGAAGAGAAGAGGAGTGGCTGCGTTTAGAGGAAGAGAGGAGAAAACGAGAAGAACAAGAGCGCCTTGAGGAAGAGAAGAAGAAGAAGAGAGAAGAAGAGGAGAGGAAAAAAAGAGAACAGGATAGGCTGCGTTTAGAGGAAGAGAGGAGGAAGAGGGAGGAGCAAGAGTACCTTGAAGAACTGAGGAGGAATAGAGAAGAGGAAGAGCGCCTCCTTCAGGAAAAAGAGAGGAATCGAAGAGAGGAGGAGAGGAGGCGACTGGAAGAGCAGAAGAGATATCAGGAGCAAGAGTGAGTTTTGTCATTTCAGCAGTCTTTTCTCTCACTTTAATTTATGTCCCATCTCTCATTATCTGTGTTATACTGATATGAATGTTTAATTTTCTCAAGCATGCATTTCAGTTTTGTTTACTTCCAGAACAATAACATGAAGGAATGGCACTGAATATCATGCTTGACAAATGCTGCAAGTAACCTGACTAAACTAACATTGTCTGTGTTAGGGCTGGGCGGCATGACACTATAAATTTGCAATACCTTCTATGCGTCGGCTGATATGTATGTATCAGTGAGCAGGGCTGCTTTGCATTGTTAAATGAATGGAAACAAAGATGATGTTATGCTAAAGAAAATGAATTTGCAGTAATTTTAGCTGAAGTACAGTCACGGGTGTATGTATATCGTCTGTTTTACAGCGCCTTCAAATGCGGCTCATTCAATCAGAATTTAGAGTTGATGATATGGCCAAATAAGATAAAATACCTTTCTTTTATAGAATATTTAATTCAGTGACGTACCAAAAAGCAATACCACATGGTTATTTAATAGTATCATCGAAAAGTGCAGTTAGTAATAATTTTGAATGTATTTTTAAAGAGAAGTCTCTTTAGCTCTCCAAGGCTGCATTTATTTGTTGAAAAAATACAATAAAAAATCAATTTTGTGAAATATTCTAACAATTTAAAATAACAGTTTTCTAATGCTAATATATTTTAAAATGTAATTTATTCCTGTCCAGTCATTTTTAAATATAATTTTTTGTAATATTATATTAGTGTATCAGTGTAGAATTTGTTTAGTAATTTATTATAGTAACGTGTCATTAATTGTTAGTGTAAAATACATTTTTCATCATTTTTTACAGCAAAAAATAAATATTGTGCTTCAGTAATTTTGCGTTAATTGCGTTAAATTATTTTAACGCGTTAAGGATTGTAAAATTAATTGCATGCGTTAACGCGTTAACGTTGACAGCTCTAATATATACAGTATATATATAGTATTTAATGTATTATATAAAATATATACAATTTTTTGTTTGTTTTTTCAAGGAAGTCTCTTATGCTGATGAAGGCTACATATATTTGATAAAAAATACAGTAAAAACAGTGTTATTGTTTCTAATGCTAATATATTTTAAAATGTAATTTATTCCTGTCCAGTCTAAGTTCAGTCTTCAGTGTCACATGATTCTTCAGAAATCATTCAAATATACTGATTTGGTGCTCAAGATACATTTTATATTATTATCAACGTTGAACACATTTTTTCAGGATTCTCTGATGAATAGAAAGTTCAAAAGAACAACATTTTTAAATATGATTTTTTGTAATATTATATTAGTGTATCAGTGTAGAATTTGTTTAGTAATTTATTATAGTAACGTGTCATTAATTGTTAGTGTAAAATACATTTTTCATCATTTTTTACAGCAAAAAATAAATATATGTTGATACATGCCGATACTGCGATACAAAATACTTGTGCCATGATTTAAGATTCTGGTCATACTTCCCAGCTCTAGTCTGTTTTTTTACTCATGCATTATTAACCAGACTAATTTGTCTTCTATTAATGTTGTTCAATCATGCCTATATGAACATCTGCTTGTCTGTGCTGATTCTGCTGTTTGGCCACAGTAAGGTGGACTCCTTTGGCTATACCAATGTTTACCCTCAATTATCCTACTCACACAGGTAATAGGACTCTGCTGTTTGCACTCCCATTTGTATTTAATAAAGTTATGCTTTCAGGCTATGCATCCATATAGGATTTATACATTGATAAGATCTTTCATCTGTATGTTTATCAGACGGCGTAATCTTTTGTCTTCCAATCTGGTTTGCAGATCTATTTCCAAATCAACTCCAGAACTTGATGAGGTTGCAAAACCAGATATTAAAGGTCAGTGCAGCTTTTATATTTTCTCTAAACCTTTATGTGTATCTATTGTTCTTTTTGACCAATAAGGAGCTGCTGAGACAGCACTATATAAAGGATCGTGTCAGAATCCTCAAGAGCGTGTTGTCAGTGGGCCACACATTGTAAGGGCTGGAGTAAGATGGTTGCTGTAGAGTCTGCGGCTCTCTGCAGGTGTGTACGGCAGACACAGGGGTTTGGCAGGATGGCTGCTGGAAGAGGAACTGAGGCGAAAGAAAAGCACTCAGATCCAGAGAGAGCAGGCAGCGAGTGAGCTAGAGCTTGAGAGGAGGAGCATCCTCAATGCCATGAAATACAGAGATCCAGAGAGAGGTGTGCGCGGCTCAACCCACGCCAATCAATCAGACCAACCAATCAGCTCGGCCTGATTTATGCAAATTTGACAGATGCAATGTCAGCAAAATCAGTTGAAATCGAGCCTGTGTCCACGTGATCAGTGTGCATTTGATTTAAAAACTGTAATATAAAAACAGTGGGGTCCAAAATCTGAGACCACTAGTGAAAATGCTTCTATTTCTAATTTTTTAAGTTAATATTTTTTCTTACAATAATCTAATATGCATTACACTACCGTTAAAAAGTTTGTCAATTTTTTTTTTTAAGTAATTAATTATTTTATGCAGCAAGGATGAAATTGATCTAGAGTGACAATAAAGACGTTTACATTGTTACAGAAATATTCTGTAATGCTGTTCTTTTGAACTTTTTGTTCATCAAAGAATCCTGTAAAAAAGTTTCTTGGGTTCCACAAAAATATTAAGCAGGACAGTTGTTTTCAACATTGATAATAATTATGAAAAATGTTTGTTTATTTATTTATTTATTTTGAGCACCAAATTACCATATTAGAGTGATTTTTGAAGCATTATGTTCAAGAACATCTGACCGCTTGTGCTTGTTTATTTCCAGGTTTACATCATATTTTGAATCCCACATATCCACTGTGGTCTCAAACATTCAGGCCCCACTATATATAATCGGATGAAGAATATCTGAAATCAATTGCTTTTGATCTTGATGTCTACCAAGTCTATTTACTACTTGTCACTTTGTTATTAATGGTGATTTGTGTGTTTCTGTTGTTGGCTCGAGCAGCGAGCGGTGGTCTGGGTGAGTTCAGTAGAGACTATAAGAAAGAGCCCCAGTCTCAGGCTGAGGTGGAGAGGCAGCAGATCCTTCATGAAATGAGAAAGAAGACTTCCTTGAACACAGACAACAGCTGGATTCGCCAGCAGAGCGCTGCCAATGTTACCGCCAAAGAACCGATTGATCTGCCCGTCAGGAGGTCAGTACTGGACAGCAGTATTTTTCTTTGTAACAAAATTATCAAATGAAATAAGCAAAGAGGAAAATGCAATTGATGTGAGCTTCAAGCATAAAGACTGACAAGCTCACTTTGCTTGCAGAGGCGAGTCTCTTGACAATCTCGATATGCCTCGTTCCTCTTGGAGATCATCATGGAGCACATCTAACAGCACCTCGTCCATACCAGACTACAGCCGGCCTCATTCGTCCCTCTCTGGCTCCTCGTCGTACCAGAGTGGACGTCCAGAGTCTGCAAATCTGCAGTCATCTCAGTCCATGAGCTCCCTCAGGCAGTCCTGGTCCCCATCCGCAGCTACACCAGAGCCAGAGCCTCGAGCTCCACCACGGAATAGGTATTCCTCACTAAAAAAAGTAAATTGTCATTGTAATCTAAAACAGTGGTTCTCAACTGGTAGGTTAATGACAGCAGAATAATAAAATGAGACTAATTCTGGATAGCAAAACAAAAGGCTTCAACTGCCACATTCCAATCGGAGACAACACGTCTTAATATGTTATGCAGTACTGCTTCTCATGTAAATTAATCTTGCTTTAAGGATATGGAGAAGTTTTACTGGAAAACAAGTAAACAAATGATTAATCAGATGTCAATTTTGGAGGGAATATATCCTTTGGCCTGGTGCTTGTTCTGCGTGATTGGCTAATAAATAAATACACTTAAGTTGCTGTCACATTTACCATTGTTTTGTGTATTTTCATGATCAAATTTAAATCATTTCAATAGGAATCTGTGCAATCTGGAATTTTGCTTGAGGGTGATAGTTTTTCAAACACAGATTTTGCATCAGATTCAAGTTGGTCACACAAATTGCATTGACCAACAGAAAGCTGCTTGTTTCAAAGTGACATATATGTGAGCTGTGCTACACTATTGTCAATGAAAAGTGGATCTATTTGCTTATATAATTTTACAGAAATTTTGCTGATGTGACTGCACCATAATACATTTTTGTTGACATTTTGTATGATAAACTATTTTGATACTCTCTTGGGCTTGTGAAACCAAACCATTTGAGAACCGCATATCTAAACCATACCACCCAACCATTCCCATGTGTCTCCCATATTCTTGTTGTCTTCAAAATGTGTTTTCACCCCACATGAGCCATGGGCTGTGTGCAAGTCTGTGTTGCTGGGCTTCAGATGATGTTTTCTGTAATCTAGGTCAGTGAGTGGCAGGAAAATATGTTCGTTCTGTAATACACCACTGGGCAAAGGAGCAGCCATGATCATCGAGTCCCAGGGGCTCTGTTATCATTTGAGTTGTTTCAAGGTGAGCGTTCAGCTACTCGGAGGTCAGGTCCAGCCTGGCTTCATCAGTGACTAACCTGACTAATGTGCTCTGTCTGCTTTTATGATTATTCTATTCAGTTGTTCTGTGCATGTATAAACTCGATCAAAATGTCAACCCAGAGAATCAAAATGCCAATTCTAGCTGCTTCATGGATAACGGCACTGACAGCACTGCCCTGTGACTTATCTTTCTTTCCTAAAAGACTGTCATTTATTTCTCTCAAATGCGCATAAACCATCAAGAACAAACCATATGCATTCTAAAGGCTGAACTACAAAAATCTGTTTCTGCCAAAACTGAAATATTTGTGATTTTGCTTCTATAACATTGTTGTACTATGAGGATTTTGATTGCATCTGTGCCAAAAATCCCATCGCATGTCCCAGAAACATGTCTTATTCACCAACCACACATAGTCTAATTTTACTAGTTAAATGTTGGTTTAGCACTGCGCCATTTTTAGCATAAACATACGTCATGTATATGCAAATTAGAATAGAATTATAGAGTGCACCTTATTCATTAGGTGCCTGGTGCAGTAAACATTGCGCTATTAAAGAGTTGTAATTAAGACATGCCTGTGTACATTTTGCAAGTATAATTCATCAAATGTGACCCTGGACCACAAAACCAGTCATAAGGATACATTTTTTTAAACTGAAAGAAAGATTTATACATGATCTGAAAGTCGAATAAATAAGCTTTCCATTGATGTATAGTTTGTTAGGATAGGACAATATTTGGCCAAGATACAACTATTTGAAAATCTGGAATCTGCGGGTGCAAAAAAATCTAAATATTGAGAAAATCACATTAAAAGTTGTCCAAATTAAGTTCTTAGCAATGCATATTACTATTCAAAAATTACATTTTTAAATATTTACGGTAGGAAATTTACAAAATATCTTCATGGAACATGATCTTTACTAAAGATCCTAATGATTTTTGGCATAAAAGAGAAATCCATAATTTTGCTATTGCTACAAATATACCCATGCTACTTATGACTGATTTTGTGGTCCAGGGTCACAAATGATGATTAAGTAATCAAGCACACTTTATGTATTTTAACATGCAGTTTATGTGTCTGGATCACAGTGATGGAGTCCCAGTTAAGTACTCCAAATTGCAGTAATCTGCTGTATCTTCCATAGCTTAGCACTCAAAACTGGGAGTGTGCACAGTGCATAATGCGTTTAGCATATTTATAAAGTGAATCGAGTGCTAAAACAGCACAGACAAGTATTTGTAAATAAATGATGCTATCAGACAGTGGGCATAATTCATTCTTATTGAATTTCCTCCTGAATTTATTCCAATGCCTTTACCTTCAGAGCAGCTGTATGTTACTCATCTAGAGCTTAATCATTCCTCGCGCATCCTCGTCATTCTCCAAATGCCAATCATTTGTATTTCTGCTCATCCTCTCATTCACGTTGCATTGTCCTCCTGTTAATCTTGTTGCCGGGTTATTTCTGGTCCTTTTGGCTGGTGTTATTACTGCAATTTCATATCCTCTGATGCTGCTGCCATTGACCTCAAGCTAGGATTCTCTCTCTCTCACTCTTATATGGAGGTGAGTGTGCGGTACGGCATTACATGGAGGATTCTGTCTTTCTAACAATGTGTTCTTTCATCTTGTGTTTGCAGTGCTTTAAATGCAGGTCTGATTTGGGAGGCTCAGAAGCCGGAGCAGAAGTCAGAATACGAAACCAACAGCTCTATTGTAACTCCTGCTATATGCGACTCAAAAGTAGGCCACACATCTCTGCAGTATATGCGGCTCAGTTACATAGTTCACCAAGTGATTTCTGATGTTCTTTATGATGATTTTTCTCTCTTTTCAGCTGGGCAGCCCACAGCCATGTGATCTCGCAGTACTGCAGCAGATCGAGGAGGAACCAATCACAGACAAGGAACTGTAAACACTAGGATTGTGTTGGAGATTGATAAACATTGGGTGATTTAGCCATCTTTGATTATTTAATGAGCTTCTATTCTTCTTTTTCACTTATGAGAGGGTGAGATTCCTGAGGTTATGTTTATTTGAAAGTATTCGTAATTGTTTGTACAAAAGGGATGTGCATGTACCTTGAATATGAACTATGCATTTGAAAAGATAATTAATGCACTGTCTTATTCATCATCACTGATTGAATCTTCTGATGACTTCTGGCTGGTTAACTGATATCTGTATGTTCATTAAAGTGTTTATAGTAATTAATAGAAATATGCTATTTTATTGTCATTGCTTATTTAGGTTTCTCCTGCAGTCTTTTCTATATAAGGATTTGCTGAATAAAATATCCTGTGTGGTTCATCTGTGTGCCTTTTTGTGTTCTGATGGGAAAAGATGATTAAGGATAAATCCATTAAGACTTTATTTAAAAGTGGCATGGTTAGTAAGCAGCACTCATGATGAGTTATATACTCTTTCATTGGTAGCATCTATTTTATGCATCTGAGCAATTTCTCTGCAGGGGGAAAAGATGAATCTAGAACAAAAGCAGCGTACTCCGTAATAATTGTAAATAAAATTTCCAAACTATAATCTCTTTCCTGAGTGTGATTTACTTGACTAATTTCTCATTAATTGGATTTTATTTGTCTTTTTAAAACTAGTCTGAATCCACTGTTACTGTCTCCAAGTGACATTGGTTCGACGGCAACACTACAATAACAGTACATGAATTATCATGTACTAATACCTGAATTAATACTTGGGGGGGCACATTATTACTAACTCATTAATTACTTATTAAGTAACATGAATTCATGACTTGTTAATGTATCATGATGTCATGACTTGTCTTGGAGGGACACATCTTTAAAAGGTTATCAATTACAAATGTTCTATACATATTCAGCTCATCTAAATCAGATATTTGATGCTTTTCGGTGGTTTGTAAAGAAGTGGAAGAGCAGAGGTCCTGTGGCTGCATTCGGATGGAGAAGGAACTGAACAGTAGGAGGAAAGTTGACATTTTGAAGGGGCAATAGTGGCCCAAAAGAAGAGCAAGAACACAAGACAAACGTCTGACTGCAGTGCATTATTATGATATAAAGACAGTAAACCAATCCATAACATAAACAAAGCGATGACCATCATCTCTATGCTAACACTGATTTTAATTTGGAAAATTGCACCTGCTTAATGAATACGTTATTGTAGGACGGCAGCAGTGGAATCACTCAAAACAGAATGAGATGAAATTGTTTTTAATTATGAATGCATCATTGTGTGTTGGACGAGTTAGGTTAAATGTAAATATTGCAAGAAATCCACTGATGTTTGTGACAGCTGCAGGTGGCAAATTTATAAACAATTTTACATTGTGCCATTTTCATACATCTTGCTTCTAGAGCATGTTTGATTTAGTTTACCCCAAAGTGATAATTAATACATTAACTAACATGCAGGAACTAACATGTAATTAAGGTAGTGTTATTCATGCAGTAGTTCATATGACTCATGTCGTAGTTAAGTTAGTTCTTCATTAGTTCTTGATTAATACATATCTTAACTCATCATTAGTTCATAGTCAAGTAATTATTAATTCAGGTATTAGTACATGATAATTCATGTACTGTTATTGTAAAGTGTTACCGGTTCGACTTTCATTGTGTTTATAGCCTCATCACAGTCACAGGGGATTTTCATCTAATACCTTTTCCAATGGTTCATGTATTTTTATCATATTGTAGTACTACAATGCATTTCCCATGATACTTTTCAATGAGTGTGTATTTTTGTTGCAGTTTCCTAATGACATTACATCTGCACACTGCAAACACCTGTTGGGAATTCACTGCTAGTCCTGTAAAGGTGAATCTGATGTATCAGGGCCTCAGAAGCATTACAATAATATTATTGTTCAGAATATAACAGGACAGAAAAAGAGAAGCCCTGCAATTCCTGCAGTTTGTTCTAATGGAGAGCATCAGCTGATTCTCATTTGAGTGTAGTACTGCCCCTACGAAAATTAAATTAAAAAAAAATGAATAAAACCAAAAAACCATGGTTACTATAGTTAAACCATGGTAACCACAAATTAACCATGGTCTTGCTACACTAATGGTATTTGTGGTAAAAATGTGCTTATACAAATGGTAATCAATGCGCCAAAAAACTACGGTTGCCACATTTTTACTAGCCTATAAAACCATGGTTAATGCCAGATACCTAGCAAGTAGCTAAATATAGCAAGTATATCAGTATAACATTGTACATTTTAAAAGCTTCAGGTAGCCTTAAGCTCTACGTTTCTCTCTGTCTCCACATGTGTATTTTGCTGTCTTTTCTTACCCTGCAGAGAACTTCTGGCTACAATGGCACTTGTCATTTTGACAGTTTGATCATCTGAGGTAAAAGGTGAGTGATCATTTTTTTCAGATATGGAACATCTAGATAGAGTTTCCTTCCAGCAGGTTCCCACTCAGATTTGTATTTTTAAGCTTCATCCACAATTGATAACCTTCTGTATCATATATAAAATGTACACATTTTGTTGGTTATGTGTTAGCTTACTTGGCTAGTTTATTACCTACTTATTCTTTTTTAATTTGTTTGTTTCTAATTGAAGCGCAGTCAGCTCAAGGGGGCGCTGTTGGCCTAGGTGAACAGTTAATTGACCTGTGGAACATGCATAAAGAGATCTTTGAAATTTAGTTAAAGAGGTGCTACGGATGTCCGATCTCATTGTCTGAGTGTCTTTAGTTTGGTGGGTGGAGGGATAGAGGATTTCCTCCTCCACCTGCTCTCTGGACTGATGCTAATTTTAGTCCGCATTATTGAGGTCAGCCATAGTTGCCATGGTTTTAGTTTCTCACTGAACATCACCTGCAAAGCACTGCGCTTCTCTAATCTGACATGTTGGATAGATAGCACTACAAAGTGACATGGCAAATTTCATTCATACCACTCGAAAGACATTCTTATCTAAAAATTCAAATACTATTTTGGAAGGCTATTTTATTTTATTGAAAGGCTCTTTAATGTAAGAAATTGACTTTTTATTTGTATTTATGAAGTTATTTCCCCTGTAGTGTTATTTTAGTATTGTTTAGTATTCAGTTAACAATAACAACACTGGTTTGATTCCAGGATAGCCACTGAAGTCGTTTGCCTGTAGCTCTACGGTTTTTTGTCACATTACAGTTCAGGTAAAAGCAAAGAAGCAAAAGGGCATATTTGTAGGCTACTATGGATATGCTTACATTATACCATTAAAAGTACTGGTCTGGTACAGCATTTAAGTTGAATGGTACACTAGCCCAGCAAACTAGTATATATTGAAGTTATAAAGAGGTATTTGGAGATCTTAGCATCTTCTAGAACAGTGGTTCCCAACCCTGGTCCTGGAGGCACCCCAACACTGCACTTTTTGCATGTCTCCTTAGTCAAACACACCTGATTCAGGTCATCAGCTCATTAGTAGAGACGCACCTTTCCCACCTTTCTCTGACGCACAAGTTTCAGATCTTGGGAGTCTCTACTAATGAGCTGATGACCTGAATCAGGTGTGTTTGACTAAGGAGACATGCAAAAAGTGCAGTGTTGGGGTGCCTCCAGGACCAGGGTTGGGAACCACTGTCTCATTAGTAGAGACTCCAAGACCTGAAACTGGTGTGTCAGAGAAAGGAGACATGCAAAATGTGCAGTGTTGGGTTGCCTCCAGGACCAGGGTTGGGAACCACTGTTCTAGAACATGGTGCAAACTTGCTCTTTTCAAGTTAATTGTGTTTTGGCTTACTACTTTTAGTACTCTTCTTATCAGTGCCATTTTCTCAACAAGCTGTTCTTGTGTCACGATAAGCAAGCAGAAGCTTCTTCCGGCACTTTGAAAAAGGATTGTTCTAGGACCTTTTGATGAAGTGAAAGGAAATCGAGTTAGATCCTGATGTGTCCCGGACCATGGCTGTAGGCAATACTTTGGATTGATTAAAGAAAAAGAATGTTCCCGCTTTTCCCGGTGTTGTGGAGACAAACGTGCACTTGCTTTTTATGCAGCTCACATTTCATTTTACAACACTCTGAGTTTCCTGAAACACTTCAGTTAATGCAGAGATCCGTTTGGATGTTATGGTGATCCTTTTTTGGTAAATTGCACAACCAGTTGAGTTTTATTCCCCTTTTCTAGTGTTTTCTCGTGGCTTGTTGTTATCAGCCTTTCTGCTGATACAAGAGGAGGCTCTGGTTGTTTCGTGGAGGTGGGTAATATAGTTGTTGACTAAAGTGGCCATTAAACCAGCACTTAGTAACCTGGCAGTGACATGCAACGCAGCCCTCAATCACAGTTTTCAGATGCCGCATCGTTTCTCCTCCGCACTTTAGAGCCAAACACACACATGGGAAGTGAGTGGATACCTGAGTGAAGTGGATGAGGGAAGGATTCTTTCAGATGTGAGAATCAAAGGGATTTTTTTAAAGAGGGGCAGAGCGCCCACTCTCTCTGTCAAATGGAGATTTGGTGTGGGGGTAGAAAGTGATTCATTTTTTTATGTCAAGACCTAAGCCAAGTGCGATCACTGCAGGCACTGATTTCTAATTTCCCTTGATGGCATACTTCAAAGATCCAATCTATACTTATCTTCTATCTTACTGTACCGCTCTGTCTAATGCTTGGCCTCCAATGAAATGTGCTGGCCCTTCATTTTCAGTGACATGGAAAATGTTTCACTGCTCATGAATGCTAAGGCGGCCACAGCTGGAGGATGCAGATATGCTTGAAGTTATTATGCCAAGAGGATGTTTTGTGCTGAGCTGGGCATGGAGGTGAATATTAAGTTACAAGTTAATCTTCTGTTTTCACGCTAAATGATTTTGATGAGTTTAGGAGATTAAGTATGGTGTGAAGTTTAGGGTGTATTGGAAAATTAGAGCCGCTAGCAGTTTTTGGTTTAGATATCATCACACTTTAGATAAAATCCTAAAAGGGCACATTTGCACTTGATTAATCCAATTATGTTTTTAGTCTTATAGATTTATACTTTAAGTATCAATTCTTTTTTGGTGCAGTAGCTGTATATCTGTGATTGGTGATTTCTGGACTCCACATGTCACAGCCGAGCTTATGAAAAAGCACATCGACATATTCCAGTGTCACCACATGCAGTTTTCATCCATCATTACTTGGAATTAACAAGAGCTCTTCAAAGGCTGAGCACGTTTTAAATTGTTCTTCTACATGCACTGGACCAGACTGCTGTTTGAAATGCATATAACACTGAAATGACTGAGTGACCCTCTTTTAAAATATAGTAATACTTGGAAAGCCTTTAGTCACACAATTTGTTAACAAAAATTACTTACAGCAATGTTGTGGATTAAGTAATACTATACAAAAGATAGCTTTGGATTTGATTGGGGAAGTGGTGATCCAGAAGATGTGAGTGGTGCAGAGTTGTGTTATTGTGACTGATGTGTGTGTGTGTGTGTGTGTGTGTGTGTGTGTGTGTGTGTGTGTTTTAATGGATGGGAGCATTGGTGTGTTCTCTCACTCTTGGAATTGAGTTTCTCTTCAGAATTATTAACATTGTAGTTCTACATTG